AAGTTTTTAGGTTTTCAATGGTGAATTTTCACTAAAAACTGTCTAAATCATAAAAAATTCATATCTTGCAAAAGCTTTGGTTTATAAGCCTAAAAGTGTCGCGGTGAGTAGACAACATCTATCTTCAACTGTGGTGGAAATTTAGTTGATAACTGTGGTGGACTCCTAGTTGATCATGGTCGTGAGCTATTAATTAATTATTATTAATGGCATTTTCATTAATTAACTCATATCTCCGTCAAAAAGGCGCATGGGCCCAAACCAACTTGGGGTTTTTCACTATTGCCTATTCCCTACATGATGAAAATCGTTTGAGTCGAAAAGCTGTTAATCACCTCGAGAGGTTCCCTCGTCAGTCAAATAGAGCAATATATCTGGACATTGTTTATTTTTCATCAGGCTGCATTCAAGCGTCCGAAAGCATTCTTTACTATTCTTCTCTCAATTTCGCTAGATTTAATCATCTTGAATCTTTCGTGAATTGAATGCAGTTTAATGAAAAAATGTCGTGAAGTGCACAGGCCAAATCACTGTTCAAATTTCCCTCTTTACATACAATTCAAAATAAAACTAAAAGTGGACTAATCATTTTTGAGATGATTGTATAATAGATGAAATAGATTTATTGATTATTATGTGACTAGAATTATTCTTATCTGGATGAATCAACATTAGCTGATCACGAGAAAAACATTTGTCACAAATAGTGAAAAGTTAAAAGTGGGTCAGCATATAAATCATAACGTTACATCATTTAAAAGTGAGCATCTTCATGATCCGATGTTTGACATGAATGTTCACTAGCATCTATTTCAATATCGGTATCATCTGTGATATCAACTACTGTTGAAATTTGTAAATTATTTTTTTCTTCTTGTTTTATGGTTGATATTGTCCTCAAATTAATATCATTATCTAAATCATCAGAGTTTTCTTCAGCTATTGGTTCAATTATATGTATTCGTATTGGACTCAATACTTTAATAATTTGAATGGGGTTAAGAGTGAATATTTCATGCGTATAGTCGGTTGATTTTTCCATTGAAACATCATCTGATAAATTATCTTTTAAATTATTTTTGTCATCATCATTCGTTAATAAAGTCGGTTGAGAATGTGATGTATGAAGTATAGGTAAACTAGATATTAAATCGCAACTAATTGAATCGTTTGTATTTAAATTAGGCATGGATGTTATATTTAAAGACGCTAATGTCCTTGGAGATGAATTTAAATCAGATATAAGGGATTGTGGACGAGTTGTAGTAACATCATCCATTCCACTATCGAAAGATTTCACCAAATTTGTTTCCATATTTTGTTTAAATGTTTGAAATTGTTCAACACCATTTGGATTTATATCAGTATTTAGATAGGTTAATTGTTCACAAACATACATTACACCATCATTTAATAAACTCGATGTTTTAAGTAATTCTTCTTTTGTCTCGTCCAAACGATTCATCATTTCAAATCTTAACATTTGTACATCTTGTTTTAATTCTTCAAAATCTCCTTCACGTATCTCGGCTTGTTCTTCTCGTTGTTTATGTAACAAAAAACGTTTAACAACACGTTCCATTACCTTACGATATGTTAATGGTCGATTTATTTCAAATGATATTCGACGTGTTTGAATTTGACTATTATTATCAGCTGATGAATTTCTAACACCATTAATATCATGACCATTTTGTTGTGGAAATGGTTGACGAAATGTATCTGGCTGTGTAAAATGTTCACCTCCTATTTGTTGTTGTTCACGTTGATGACGTTTACGTAATTTTTTACGTTGAATTATTTTTTGATACAAATAATAGAGACTTTTAGGTGTGGGAATAATATTGAATGGAACGGGTAATGTAGCACCTTAAAAATCAAAAATCAAATTGAAATAATGTGAATCTGTATGCTTAACACTGTAATGTTGAATTAATTTTCAGTTTGTAGAAATTCCTCGACGAATTTCCAGCTTTCTAGAAAATGTTGACTTTCCATAAATTCGATTTTCTACAAAGGTGGAGAATCTCTGAGGATTTTCGATAAATAATTCCCAAGAATCACGGACAAGGCATGTGAAATATAGAGACACCTGCATAGGCACCGTCGCAGTCATGAAACAAATACTCATAAGCACCAGAGATGGAAGAAATCGATGTACAAGGTTGCGTTCGCGGAAAAGTGATTTAAAGAACAGTTTAACTCTTAGAAATTCCTTATTATCAGAGGATAAATGCCAAAACGTCAGTCTGCAACAAAATGTGCAGCAAGAGTTAGAAATTGTTTCCTTATGCCTGGCTTAGTTATCTTTTTAGTGTTTTGTGTAGAACTTGTGGCAGGATTGTTTACTCAAAGATATTTTCATTTAGTTCTTGGTTACTTTTGTTCCCATTTTAAATTTTTAGTTTTTTATTACAAATCTTACAAATTTATTATTTTTCTCTTTTTTCTTCGTCGCAATCAGATTGTATGTTGGTAAAATTCTTCTATTTTTTCTAATGTAAATTTGAGAGATATGACATGAAAATATATACAAAGAACGGAAGTCAACTTATTTTCAACTTCGAAGGTCAAAAGATATAAACTCTTATTCGAGAACTTTTCTCTCTAACCCCTCGGCTTTCTAAGTCGGTTCTTCTTGATTGCCAGGGTGATTTGCAACAGTTTCAACTTCGTTGAAATTAAATTAAAACCGCCGATTAAAACTTCGCTGGTTTTAATTTGTAGAGAGGAGGAAGAGAACGCTGAATGGAAAATTATTTATGAAAATTCAAGGACGAATTTCTAGATTATTGAAAATTCGATTTTTTATAAACTGAAAAATTCTCGAAAACTTCCTATAGATACTCTTTGCAATTCACCGAGTATTTTCCATAAATATTTTCCAGTCTTACAGTGTAGACGATCAAATATATGTCAAAAGTTGAAATACCTTCTTTGATATATTCCATGTACAGTTTACTACGTGCAAATTTCCATTCAACATCAGCATGTTCTTCTATTGTTTCGTAACTTTTTGACATCATAGCAATTAACATATTAAGCAATACAATTACACTGGCAATATTAAAAGCACCATATATCAAATAGCCAATAATTTCCGTAAATTTACTATGATAAGCGCCTAGTAGAACACCTTCTTTTTCTGATAAACCAAATAATGACCAAAATACAGTTTTAAATGTGTCACCCAACCTGTATAAATAAAAAAGTTACAAACAGATTATTTTAAATGGAAAGATAAATATATACAGATATAGTTAACATACGTTCCAAAAAATTTTTCAGCATTAAACGGTCGATTATTATCAATTGTCAAATTATGTGTGCCTATTTGAACATGTCTTCTTGCTGTAAAACTGTAATACCAAAATAAATTATTTAAACCAATCATAAAGGCACAAAATATAATCATAAATATTATGATAAATTTGCCAATATCCTGATAAATGAAAACAAAGATTTAGAGTATTAATTAAATATCAACATATTATGTGATATAATACATACGGACATCATTCGTCCTAATGATATTTGTAATGGTCCTAAATGTTGAAATGCTGGTAAAAGAAAACAAATTCTAGAAAGACTAAATATATTTGCTATGGCAAAGAATCCTTCGCCAACATTGACTGGATCAAATGGTACCCAATAAAAACGATCTGTTAAAAAAAGAGAATAATAACATTATAGATAAGTAAATTTTTCATCATGGAAATGAAGCACAATTGATCCTATTCACTAATTTTTAATAGAAAATACATAAATGGTTTCAATTAGCTTAATTTTGTTTAATTCGTTAAATAATATCAGAGATGGCCAACTCCGATTTTAACTCTTGATATAATTCTGTAGGAACCTCTGAACTTTTATTTGTGTTAACGTCGATATTGCTCAAATACACAGTCTAACTCAGATAAATTTTGCATAACTCCATCGAAACTCTGTTCAACTCCGAAATTGTTAACTTCAACTCCTGTTGTAGTTGCCCAGCTCTGAATAATATCACAACTAAGTTGGAAAAAAAGCTAATTTTTTTCCTTAGTAATAATAACAAGTTTAAAAAATAAATTTAGTTTTTAAATGATACAAATGATTGTAGAAAAATGACAAATCCGTATTATATTTCTCATACAAGACAACATCCGAAAAGTAATCAATCTATGTTATCCATCAATAGCTTAAATTCTATAATCTTATTTGATTGTATGAGACAGTTAAATCTTATCTATACTGTTTTCTTTCTTATATAAACTCATTAAATTAATCACTTAATAAGCAAAAGTTGCACATACATTGCTTCTGTCTACCATAATGCGAAGAGAAAGATAAAAGTCATAATGGTAAAAAGTACATTTAGCTACTAAATACAGTTAAATTCTTTGATTGAAGTGAGACCACATTAGCTACTCAATGAGTCTTATATTGAAAGAGGATGTTATAACTTGCTCACTTTCTGTAATCATTTGTATCATTTAAAAACTAAATAATTTTTTTTCTTCCGGGATCGATCACTACCTTACTTAGGATAAAAATTAGAAAATGAAAGTCATTTATGCATTTTTTTTTCTCAAAAATCAGTGAACAGAATCAATTATACTTCATTTTCAAGATCATTTATTTCCATATCTTAAGATTATTGAAAAATTCTATAAGTCGTTTGACTCCTACCAGCATTCAGCCAATAAAATGTATACCAAACATCCATCTGTTTTGAGGGAGTTGAATTAAATACAGTTGAAACTTTATCTTGAAAATCCGCTTGAGATAGTCTTTTAAGAGCATATGTGACCTATAATAATAATGTTGATAGTTAAAATAGTCTATTTAATATATTTGTTACTTACTTCAATAAAAACATAATATTTGAGAGCAAATGATGATAGATATAATATATTCATACAAGAATCAACAATATTATTCCATGACAATAGATAATCTTTAATACCATCGATATAAATTTGTTTTATTTCATGCCATAGAAAACCTGAAAAATGATTAGAAAATATTATTATATACTATGCATAAAACAATGATATATATATTCATATTATTTACCAATAACAAATATGGAAATTGCAACATCTGACCAAGTGGGCGACTGTTTTCGAAAATAAAAATCAGAATATTCTGGTATATATGTACAATTATACAATGATGTTTTACATTGACTAATTGAATTTTGAAGTGCCATGGATATATTTGGATTATAATCGGATAATTTTATTTTCTTTTGTTTTAATTCACTTGCAAATAATAGACTTGAAACAATAATAAAAACAATAAAAATAACATAAGATATTATATGACTAAGAAATTTAATACATGGTTGTTTAAGAAATTGTTGAATCTAAAAAACTGATTAATATTTATTTTATAAAATATAGAATATTTAATTATTTACTTTATTTGTACGTTTACTCCATGATGCACATATGTACATGACACAAATAAATGGCCATAAAATAATGTATACAAATATAAGTGAAAATATAATTAATTGATTTAATTTAAATATTTTTCTTATACCAGTATGCCATATTTCAATTAGTTTTTGTTGACAATTTGAATGGGCAACAAACTAAACATAAATTAATTATATTACGTTATATTCATAGATTATTTAACAAAATAATTAACCGGTTTTTCTTGATATTTAATGGCTAAATCTAAACGAGCCAATGTAAAATATTTTTCTTCTGTTTCTTTTCCAGTTTTTCCCAAAACACAATCTAATTCTTTATGTCCACGTACTTTGTCTAAAAGTTTAACAGCATATGAACTTAAATGATCAGCTAAAGCAATATATTCATTCTAGAATAAATTAAAAAACAATTTATAATTTTTAGAAAACATTTACTATATATTTCAAAATAGAATAGACTGGAATACTTTTCAAATAGCTCAGGAATGTTACTAGCTAGCGAGTACGGATCTTCACTGTTCACCGCAAGGCTGAGTTCGCTAGCTTGTTTCATTCAGGAGCTATAAGCATTTTCACGACAGCCCCGATTTTAGCCTGTTGACCTTGGATCACCCTAAAATGGGTCAAGATAGGGGTAATCGGCCATGCTGAGTCGAGTCGTGATATTTATTTTTAGTTTCTGTACGCAAGATAGTGGCAAAATGCTGGAATTCGAAAATCTTGATATAGTGACTTTAGATCGGTTTGAAACTAAAAATGAACATTACGACTCGACTCGACTCAGTGTGACCTATTACCCCTATCTTGACCCATTTTAGGGTGATCCAAGGTCAACAGGCCGAAATCGAGACGCTCGTGAAAATGCTTATAGCTCCTGAACGAAACAAACTAGCGAGCTCACCCTTGCGTGGTTTTATAGAGGGCAGTATGACGAATTATACCCACCCAGAGGAATCAAAATTTCTAGTTCACGCGATGATGATTTTCCAGAGACCTTCTGGAAATCCCTCGAAGATCTTGGCAAGCCCATTGTTTATTACGTGTCTGGGTGTCCCAGATGTCCTCGTTTCAACGGCGACGATTCGTACTCGCTAGCTGGTAACGTTCCCGAGCTATTTGAAAAGCATCCGAATCCATTCTATGTAGATGTATGGTAGCTTTAATTTAATACGTTCACCATCCAACAACAACTGAATCATATATGACACATGGACAGTGAACATGTTAATATAATTAACCTTAAAATATTTTTCTTTTTCTGATAAATTTCTTAATTCATGTCCAAGTTCAAATGCTGTCAATATTGGATCAAAACTAGCTAATGATATATAACTTTCGCTTGCTAAACCACGATAAGCATTTAAACGTGATTGTGCATGTCTTAATGAATCAAATTTAAATTTATTATGACATTCTTGGCATTTACAATGATAATCATGCGGTTTGGTAATGCGATCACCACCTTTCAAGAGTAATTGAACTGAAATAAAATAAAAAATAAATCATTAGAAATACTAAATAATATAAGATACGATACACGATATATCTTACCAATTTCTGTTCGATTATGTTGAGAGGCAAGTATCAATGGTGTAATATCAGGTGAAAATTGTGCATCATCCGATGATGGTTTCTAAAATATGATATTTACACACATATTTATATATATGTTAATGACTGGAACAAACAGAGTGTCACTTACTTGCCAAAATGAATCAGTATCACCATTTAAAAATTTTTTTTCATTTAAAAATTTAAATTTTGGATGTCTCAAACATAATTCAGCTATTTGAACATGTCCCAAATAGATGGCTAGTAATAGAGTTTCACGCATTTTTTGTCCATCACAATACTGAAGTAATAATGTTACAACCTTAAAGATAAAGCATATTATAGAATAAAATATTATATCATCTTAATATTGGGAATACTATTTACTTCTAGATGTTCATTTTCAACAGCTAATCTAAAACAGTATAAAACATAATTTTTAAATGATTAATATTTTTTGCGAGGGAACCGCCCGAAGTGATACACTCTGACTTTGTTCAAACCTGGCTATTTGTATGTAGTCAAGGGTGCTGATTATAAATATAATAGCCGTTTGCACTCATAGGCCTTTCCTCGTGTCGCTCTGGAAAACAGGTTTTCTAGAAACCCCCTGAAACAACAGGAATATTTCTCCAACCCGTTTGAATTGTAGCCCATAAATTTTGCATCAAAATGAGACGTCTCTCGGCTCTCCACGACCTTTCTTTGCAAAGTTATAGCATTTACAAGAAAAGCCCTGAATTAATTTTCCTTTTTGTAGCATTGCGTTAACAACGAACATTTAGGGCTTTTCTTGTAAATTCTGTCACTTTGGAAAGAAAGGTCGTGGAGAGCCGAGAGACGTCTCATTTTGATGCAAA